ATAATGTGCAACCTAAAGATTACCTATTTTTGCGTGCCCTGGGCCTGTAGTGTTCATAGGGATGAATATTTTACATTGCCTCATGGTTAATGGTAATCAGCCAGAGGCAAACATAGCTAAAGACTGCACCTTTATCAAAATGCCACAATAGCCAAGCTATGTATAACTCTGTACATATGGTGGTCAACCTACTTGATGTAGGGAGCACCAAAGTTTATGTCTGACATCACCAAAGGGCTACACATAGGGGGAATTTATCAAAACTGGAGCAGACAACATCTGGAGCAGTTACCAATGACAACCAATCAGCTTCTCTCTTCAGTTTGTACAGTTAATGATAAAGTTGTACAGTTTTGATAAATTCCCCTCATAGTATTTATTGAACGTAATGATGCGGGGGCATGCTTCATAGATTGCATGTTACATAAGACTGCTAGAGATCACTGCTTTTATAGTTCCTACAAACCAATTCTTTCACATTAACAAACAGCTTAAAACATAGAAGGGCAAATTCTACAGGTCAAGAATCAGCAGTTGTAGGAATCTTCCTACATGTTAAGGAAAGTGGATTTTATTTTTTTGAGGATAGTGAGGTACACATTTTGGACAGAGAGGACAACTGGGTCACAAGAGGCATGAAAGAGGCCATCTACATCAGTCTGGAACAACCATCCCTAAATAGGAGTGGGAGCCTTTGACGCCATCTGACTCCCACATATAATGCTGTGTTAAGGTATCTATCCCTGCAATATAACTAGTCACACCTTTAGCCATGTAAGTGGAGGAACTGATGCTTATACAGACTTCCTGACACAAAGCATGGGATTATGTAACTAGAACAGGGTGGTTCCACAACTTTCACACCTCCCATCCTGTTTTTCAACAATCAGCATCTAAACATTCCATGATGATTGGATTAGGTTGTTTGTGCTCCCTGTGGATATAAATGCTGGGACCTCTTCCTAAAGCTGGGTATCCAGCTTTATATTTTCTTTTGTTCAGCCTGTGGGCTGAATGAAGACAAACACGAGATTCCTTCATTAACACTTACGAGTGTTGATGGACGAAGAACCCTTCTGTTTGCATTCTATTCCGACAGAGGCCAGCAAATGGCTGCCAGCTCTGTGCGGCTAAGAATTTTCCATTTTCCTTTGATGAGCTGATTGAGGGATGCCGGGTAGAAGGTTGCCAACAGAGGCACCCACCGTGCAAAGTTTGGCCTGTTCGTTAGGAACAGGCCGAAATTCGTACCGTGTATACCCAGCTTAACACTTTTTGGAATTGAAGTTGTTTGGAAAATCTACAAAAAGTCTTCAAAATTACAGAACAAGTGCAGGTAAATGTGATGAAATACTACTAGTTATACCATGGCCTGGATAAATAAGAAACTCCACAGATAGCACCCTTAAAATGTACTCTTTTGTTGTTGATATTTTCACATTTGATATTTCTCCGTTATAAATGATCAGTGGGAAAAAATATAATCAAGGGAAAAGGGAAGGGCAGCACAGAAATAAGTACAAATGAGAAAACTACTAGAAGACAGTCTAAAGGACCAGAACACAAACACGTGTCTGTAGGGGCCTCCAGGGGCACACATTCATTGCCAAAGTGACTTGTACAATCAAAGTCTATAAGCACATATGATAGTCAAAAATATTAACAGAAAGTTTTTTTTTTTTTCTTAACGAATGAATCAAAGTTTCTGGTTTGTTTTATTGCCTTATGGTAAAGTAAATTGGTTATGAGAGAAACATAGGACTGCTTGTTCACGTCTCCTTTGGTAAATGCTAATGTCCTGGTTGTTACTATTCCTGGGGTTTAGAGCGCTGGGCTACTAGTAACAAGTGCTTAAATCAGGGAAGTAACAGAAAAGTAAGAACACGTATCTGTGTACTCATGTAGTGAAACGGGAGGCTAAACATGACATCTAGACAACCAGCATCATTATGAGGAGAGGCCACCAATGGCAGCCTCCGTCTTTCTCACGATGGGTTTCTTTTAAGTTGTACACTCAGTTTCTGCTGAGTTTTAGCGGCACTTGGCATACCTTTCCTAAAACAGGCAGATTTGTCCTTTTTGTTTCATCTGCTAGTCCACTAGAGCCTGATTTCCTAACTTCTAGGTTGGTAGTTAGCCAAATAATGGCTGAGTTAATGGTACTGCTAGTATGATATGTATTTCAGGAGGAAATCCTAAAACTCCAGTGTGATAAAACAGCTGTAACTAAACTGTCAGACGTAATAGCATTTAGTGAAGGGTTGTTTCTGCATTTTATCTGCTGTCTGTCTGTGTTTTTCTATGTCACTAGGGAATAAATAACTTTTCACATTTGTTTCCTAAAAGCAGCTTTTTCAGATTGTCTTTTTTTTTCTGCCTATTCTGCTTCAGTGAGAGGAGCGGTAATTTATGGTGCTAATGTTTTTTTGATATCTGTTTAATGTCTGTCTGTTCAAGGGCTAGGTACGGACATGCTTTGCATCCTTGGTTTGCTTATTTAAGTAGCTCATTTTAATGGATTTATATCAATGCCTTCCTTTCTTTTTTCTGGTTTTTAGCTTCAAGAAGCAGAACATAAGTTTAAATTACTGGACAAGGAGTTTCATCAGTACAAAGAGCAACAAAGCAGTAAACCAGAAATCCGATTGCAGTCTGAGATCAATCTTCTCACACTAGAAAAGGTAATATTGACTCGCTGATCCCATGAATGAAACCACTTTCTGCATATTTAAGTTGTCTCCTTTTTAAAAGCAGATATTTGTTAGAACCAGTGCAGGTGTAGACTAATAGAGGTGATCATATACTCTAGAAGTGGGTTAGAAAAACAGATATGATCAAACCACGAGGGGTACCTGTCTGTCATTGTGGGCTCCTAAAACAATGATTGGCTTATCAAGTTTAGCCTATGTGTGGGGAAGGGGCAGGAGTTACAGACACTGTGCCAGCTTATTAGTGTAAACTGTAATTGGACCAGGCTTTCTAAGACGCAAATGGTGCCTGCAAATACCTGAAAATAAAGACAATGGAGTGAGTCTACAGCTATTTTGTAATGTACAAATTACTTGGACGAACTGGCAACATTTCGTTTCACAGGCACCTTGTGATAGTGTAGTTCCTTACTTTAAAGTTGTTTGTTCATCAAACTTAGAATTAACATTATGCACAACTCTAAGGAGTAGTGATGTTAAGAGGATTGGTGCCAACCCAGCCAAGCCGTGCAAAACTGTGGCTGACAATACACCCCCACGCGCCGGTGTATATTGCCGGTGTTCGCTCACTTCTCGATCCTGTCACGGCTCTCTGCCGTGACAGGGGGAGGGGCTGGATTCCCCTCTCCCCGCTCCGATCTGCCAGCGCTGACTGGCGGAACGGACGGGGGAGGGGGCGGGTACAGCTGGCTCTGCCTCTAGATAGGCA